AGCTCCCAAGGATGATGATTCCTCCAGGATGTTGGGTTTCCACTCAAGCCAAAGCCAACACCTTCAGTGGCACTGACTCATCCCTGCCAGGTGGAGAACCCTTCCCTCCTCAACACACATTCTGTGGAATATGGATGTGTTCCTCTGCCCAAGCTAATTATGGTACCCCAATACCTGGTTTTTGGGGGCATTCCCTTTCTCCAGGTCCTTCAGTTATTGCAGAGACTGACTTACTGCTTTCCTTTAGTGAACCTATGAATTATAACCTATTTTCCCATCAGAACTCTAAATGAATGGAGTTTTATTCAGGCCTTCTTTTTGTTTTAGTTTCTCCTTTTTTCTCCAAAACATGTATTTTTCAGATTTTCTGCTATGATGCTATCAGATGTTTTTTAAGCACAGCTCAGTAAAAATGTGTCATTTGGTGAGAACTTGGTCATGTCGTCTATAAAAATTTAGAAACAAAAAATATTTGGAGTGTCTTCTTACCTCTCTAAATGAGGTGTTGCTGCATTCACACATTCCACTTACATATATTTATTTCACTTCAAATGAGTAATCACAGCTCTCAGGGCAAAGTAACAGTCTTAGAAGAGTCGAGAAAATTAAAGGCCCTTTCTATTATATGCAGGGGAACCATGTTTAAAAGGAACAGCTGCAAGACAGACATTTTTGGGGCAAGAGACACCACCCAGGGTTGCCAGTTCCTCCCCTCTAGCCCTTTTCCCCCAGATATTAAATCATCACGGATATTAAATGATCAGAGATAACACAAAAACTTAAAGGGGAAAAAGGATGAAAAGAAAACGCTGGGAAAATGAAACTACCTGTAATAATTCCTACCACATAATGAAAGCATATGCGTTTTCTTTAGGCAGTGAATCATGTACTCGCTCCCTGCAGGGTGAGAACTCGCTCTCTCTGGCTTTGCCAGGGGCAGCAGGATCTCCAGCCGGGGGTAGAGGCAGAGAAAGAAGCGCAGCCCCGTCCCCGGGGACCCCCGCGAGCACGGCCGGTGAGGGGCCGAGGGCCGGGCTCCCCCTCCGAGCGCTCGGCATGGGCGTTGTCTGCGGCGAGCCGCCCTCGCTCCGCTCCGCCCGGCCGGGGCAGCGCGGGCCGGGGCCGGCCGGACCTCGCGGCGCCGTGAGGGGGAGCGGGGTCTCTTTGTGGGGCCCCTCGAGGCGGGGGCGGCTCCCCTGCCCCCCCTTCCAGGACTCGCCCTTCGCGGCCGCCATTTTATTCCCGGCTCCTGCCGCCACCGCCCCCCGCCCCGGGCCCCGCCCCGGCCCGAGACACCCCCTCGCCCGGGCCCCCCATCCCCGCTTCCAGCGGCCCCTCAGGGCGCTCCCCGTCGCCATTTTGTGTGCGCCCCCTCCTCCGCCTCTGCCCCCCTCCCCCGCCCAGCCGCCATTTTGTGGCCGCTCCCTCCCTCCCTCCCTCTCCCCTCGGCCGTGCACGGCCTCCCGAGCCCGCGCGCTCACCATCGTAGCGCTCAGCCTGCTCAGCCAACTTGGCCTGATAGACGAGGTCCTCCCGATCGTCCATGTCCTACGGGCGGGGCGGCGGCGGGGACTGCGCGGGGCGGATGGCAGCCGATGGGTCCGGAGGGCTCTGCAGCTACCAGCTCGCTGCTCTCCGGGCAAATATGGCGGCAGCGCCTCCTCCCGCTGCATCCGGGCACTCCCGCGGGCGCGCGCATGCGCCCCACCGCCTCCCATGGCAACGGCGGCTCCCTAGCAACGGGCGGGGGGCGGGGTGAGGCGGCGTGAGGCGGCATGAGGGGTGTGAGAATAAAGGGAATGGGGCGGTGTGAGGGGTGAGGCGGCATGAGGGGTGTGAGGAGGGGTGAGAATAAAGGGAATGGGGCGGTGTGAGGGATTAAGCGGGATGAAACGGGATGGGGAGTTGGGCAGAATGAGGGGTAAGGCGGGATAAAGCAGGATGAGACGGTGTGAGGGGTGAGGCGAAATGAGGGGTGAGGCAGAATGGATGAAGCGGTCTGAGGGCTGAGGCGGGATGGATGAAGCAGCGGCGTGAGGGGTGAGACGGGATGAGGCATAAAGCGGAATGAGGCGGTGTTGTCGGTGTGAGGGGTGAGGCAGGATGGATGAAGCGGTGTGAGGGTGAGGTGGGATGGACGAAGCGGCGTGAGGCGTGAGAGGGGATGAGGGATAAAACGGAATGAGGTGGTGTTGTCCGTGTGAGGGATGAGACAGGATGGATGAAGCGGTGTGAGGTTGAGGCAGGATGAGGGATAAAGCGGCATGAGGCGGTGTTGTAGGTGTGAGGGCTGAGGCGGGATGAGGAATAACGCGGGATGAAGGATGAGGCAGCCCAGCAATGGCGGGGATGGTTCCCGCATCCCTCACCCGGCTTTGGCTGGGCCGTGACCGGTTCATGGCTGTGGGCGAGCGGGGGGCAGCGGGCCCGGCCGCCGGTGGCGTTTCCCTCAGTGCGGCTCCATCTCCGTGTTTGTGTTGCCCTCAGACTCTGACAGCGCTGTTTGAGTTACCCTCTCTCGGTATTTGGGTACAAATCACCGTGTGTGCCCCACATGGAAGGGTGGATCTGTGACCGAAAGGCAGACGGTCAGATACAGATGTCTGCAGCCTCTCCAGGGTGTTTGCTCTAAGAATTACCTCCAGTGCATAGCACGTGGTAATTTCATAGTTTCAAGAGGCTAGAAAATCTAGAAAGTAAAATTGAATGTTTCACGAGTTCCTCACACAGTACTTCTGAAAACCAAAAGGAGCATTCACTTCAATAACTGAGATAATGCCTCGATTTCCGAAATCAGAATGGTTTTAGAAAACTAAAAGGGATGATGCATGGCTGGCATGAACATGACCTTCAAAGATCCCCATCCCTGGGAGTGTTCAAGGCCAGGTTGGATGGGGCTTGGAGCACCTTGGTTTTGTGGAAGGTGTCCCTGCCCATGGCACAGGAATTGGAATGAGTTTTAAGGTCCCTTCCAACCCAAACCATGCCACAATTCTGTGATTTGCTCAGGGTAGCTGTGAATGAATTCTTATCTCTTTTCCCAGTGGCTCCCTGGAAGTGCAGACTACAGATGTCTCCCATCACCTCACTGACAGGAAAAGTGCCCAGAGACCTTGGTAAGTTTTGACAGCAGAGACAGAGCTAGCCCTGGTACCTCCTGGACACAAAGTCAGGTATCTCCATTTCTTGTATTGTGCCCACTGAAATGGGCTCCTGATGGGTGACTGAGGGCACACACCTTGAACACCATTCAAAGCACATTTTTTCAGTAGTTTAGTGCTGGCCTGACTTATTTTTTTTCAGTTGATGAACATGAGTTTTAGGGTCTGCAAGATCAACATAACCTTATGCTTTTCTTATAAATAAATCTAAAAGCTTGACAGGATTATTTTTATATCACTTGCTCAGAAAATCAATGCTCTGTTTTCAAGGGATATTTAGGCCCTCTTTTTCACAGATGAGGATAATCTAATCAGGATTTCTTAAAAACAAAGACATCAGTGACTAAGGTCACACAAAATTAGGTGTCAAGTCCAGAAAAAAAATTTGCTTTTTTTAGATTTATTTGAAGTAAGATTAGAAAATGCTGATTTTGCTGAAATTGGGAATCATTGCAAACCTTTACTTCTGAATTGCTGGTAAATACATGATACAAAGTTAAGCACTCAAAAGGTCCCAGTAGTGCACAGTCACTATCTCTGTGTAAATTTTTAAGACTTGCAAATCACTTCTGCACTCTCTTGACCATAAAAGTCTATTTTTCAGCAGAGACTTGGGGAGCTGTGCACAATAAATTAAATTTGGATCAATTTAGGAATTTTTCTGTGGTCCTCGTGTTCAGCAGGCACTCAGGTTGCAGGGAGTTCAATAATATCAATACATCAGGACACTTCAGGCAGATTTAATTGCCAGAAGTGAGGTGCATTCTTGGTCCCCTTGCTAAATAATAGCATATTGTCTAAATACTTGAAATTCTTTCGAATGCACTCGTTACAGATGGCATTCAGATATTTGGAAATTGGTCAGGGATTTGGCAAAGCATGAGGAATAAACAGCCTAATCCAAGGAAATACAGCACAATTTGCTGATGCAATCCTTGCTTGCCCTTTGCCCCCTGAACTTTCACATTAATTCATTCAACCACTGCTGCAGCCAAACCCCACAGCTGAAAGGAGAGGGAATGGAAAAGGAAAAGCATTTTCTGCATGAGCCCTGTGCTCCATCAGCTCAGGGAGCTCTGCAAACACCAGGGCAAGGTGGAGCAGGAGGGGATGGCTGGCAGGGCCCTGGGGAAGGGCAGGCACAGCCTCTTCCTTTGGCTGCAGGGAGCTCTGAAATTCTCTCAGCTAATCTCATTAAAAGGCACCTTTGCAGTGGGTGAGCACTGGAGCAAAGCTGGGGGCTTCTACCTATGAAAAATTACACGTTTTTTCCATCTAGAGCTGACAGAATAATCTTTGCTGTGTGGAGACACACCAAGATTCTTATCCCTGGGGCCTAAGGGCCACTGTCCCCTTGCAGTTTTTAAGGAATAGTGTGGCAAAAGTAGCTTTAATGCAGATTGATGTTACAAGCATTGCTCCCCATGGGATTCTGATCCTGATTTTCTGTCCTTCAGCCCTTGACAGCACCTGCACACCCTGGCCTTTCACTGAATTAGTGCTCTCACACCACCACACATAAAAACAGCTCTTCTGAACCATTTGTAGACTCCTGCAGGAGATTCTTGCTGGTATTCATTTGTGTAACTTTGTGTTCACTGATATTTCTAAGAATATATAAACAGCTTTTTATCTTCCCAACCTTCCCATCCAAACAATCCCCAGACTATTCCCTGACACACTTGTCCAGGTAAAATTGAGAGCAAGAGCTACAAAATCTCATCTTAACATTCCTCACAAGTAATATTTGAAATGAGAATACACATTTCCCCCAACCCCTTGACTCATTTAATTACAGAAAGTCACCTTCTTTCAAAAAAAGCCATATTTTATTGTTTGATAAGTTAATTTAGTTACCTTGGTTTGTCTTATTTCTGTAGTGCTGTGTTTAATTATTTTCATACTAACATGGCAAATTAAAAATGGCCATACCCCCTCTATTTTTAATTATTACATGCAAGTACTCCAAGAACTGATTGAGAATGACTGAGTCAAAGTTTTGGCTATACTTTTATTTACTTCACGTACTATGAACATATACATTACATGCTACAAAAAAATAAAAAAGGACTTTAACTGTCAAGAAAGTGGATAGTGTTATAATACAATGGCACATGTTCATATTTTTCTTCAAACAGGTTTGGTTAGAATCCTTCCCCAAAACCATTAACAAAAAGGAAGTGTTCTGCTCTTAAAGATGATTAGAAATCTTTGCATTATTAACAAATACAATTCAAACAGATTAACAAGATTTAACCAGGTCATATATTAGTAAAAAGGCAGGGGCTTACCAAAATGAAATATATATTAAAAAACCATAGCAGCCAGTTGTACTTTTTAGTGTGATATAACGTGTAAATGCACCAGAAGAACACAGTGTAATTGAGCATTCTGCTTTCATGGTGTATTTCTAGAAATGATTATTCTAGTTCTAACACCTGCCTATGCACAAGAGACCAAAACCACAGCCAAGGAAGAGACAAAAGATTGTGACCAACATTCTGAGCAATGATTTTTCTGCACGCATTGGGAGAAGGGAGGGAACAAACAGCAGAGGATAAACAAAGGCCACAAAAGGATTTCCTCTACATGTTCATGGACATGGGTTCTACCTATTTGCCTTGAAGAGCCTGACAAGTTGAAATGTCTATTTTGTCCAAATTCATACTCCTTTCTATCACCTATGAAACAAAATCACATTTCAGCTTAGAACTGAAGAGTGGAAAACAGTTGCATTAATGTGTCAATCAGCTAAAAAAACTGCTTGACAAGAACTTGGGATTCTAGTGTAACAGCAGCTATTAAGACTCCTCTAGTTTCCTTATTTTGCTCTTTCAAAGTGTACAAATATTCACAATTTATACAGTCTTAACAAAACCACATCTACAAAGTTTGCAGGGAACTTGCTAGTTAATTCAATTAATGTCTTTTGTATTAAAAAGGCAAGGTTTGCATAATAAAACTTCCAGAAAAATGATCTTTTGGTATCTGAATTCCTGATTGGAAAGGTAGAAATATATGGGCTTTCATTAAGTGCAGTTGGCAAAAATCCTTCAGAACAGTGTCACTCTAATGGCACACTGTTTATTGTGTTCCTTTTGCAATACCCGAAGAAAAACATAAGCATATATGGGCTACTGAAAAACTCAGTATTAAGTCTGTTATTTATAGTGCAGCTGAACAGTTATAGTGAATATCAGGATCAGAGGAAAACAAATCAGCCTTAAAGAACTTGATGAGTTAGAGTTAGTTTCACAATTTTTTTGCCCTCAAAGTAAATTTTGTACTAAGCTAGAAGAGCTCTCACAATCACTGGCACGTCACCTTAACCAGAATAACAAACCAAGGTAGAACAGAGCTGCAATTCCTCATTTCCATTCTTACCCCACTGTCCCTGCTGTCAGTTTTTGACATTAATCCTCAGTAGTGTTCATGAGACTGGTGATGGACAAGTGTGATCAACATTAGTCCACAGAATTAACGAGTGCCCATAACCTGAACATTACTCAGACTTGCTGATGGATTAATTTTGAAGTAAAACAACTAGTACTTAAATAGAACAGAAATATTATAATTTCCAGCATGTTACAGAGTTCTGAGGTAAAGTGTTACCAGTATGGTTGTAGGGTTGGTGCCTTGCAGCAAAGGCCTTTGCAACCCATGAGCCTTGGGGTCACATGGTGTGAAGCAACCAAACCCAACAGTTTCAGTTTGATGCTATTTAGAAAAACCCTTCTGCATGGATTATACTGTAGTCAAAGTTACAAAATTTAGTTTGGTCACCAGAGTGCTGAGCTTGGAAAACAACCCAGGGTACAGGCAAGGGAGAGTTATTTCAGTGTTTAATTTCAGTTTACAAAACTTACTAAATCCATTCTGATTTATATTAGAGAAAACCAGATAATTAGAAGAACAGACTAAAAAACAACCATTAAGCAGTGCATAACCTGCCTACTCAATGCACTGATTTTCATCATGAGCTAGGAAGCCATATTTACTCTATTATGCCTTTTGAGAATCAATCCAGAAGCACACAATTATTTTCCATTAGTTTATTAAAAATAAAATCCTCATGAGTTCACTATCAAATATTTTACAGATGGGACTTAAACCAGAAGAGTCCCCAGACTCTTTAAAATAAAACTAATATTTGGTTTGTCAGTTCACCGTACTTGACACTGATTTGTACTGTAACAGTATTGTACAATATTGAAGAATTCTAGAAAAATTAAACTAACCCTACACAATTTAATTTTATTGGAAAGCAGTGTCAATATTTTAGTATATTTAGTGAATCAAACACTGCTTTAAAGCTACGTATTAAAGTGCTATGCACGTATTTTTCAGCACTGATATGGAGGTTTACACTTCCATAAGCCTTGTATTTGTGGATAAAAGGAGATACTGTGTGTTAATAAAAATCTTAAATTAAAATCAGCTGCTATGTTTGAAGCATCAACAGTACTGAAGAAATCAATCTAGTGTCCACAAGGTTCTAGAATTCTGAGGTTGATTGGATCTGTCATTTACCATGAAAATGGTAAGGATCTGTAAATCACAAGGCTGTGCCCAACGGGCCCTTGCCTCAGTCTGTGCTGTGCACAGCTAACTGACCATGCAGAGCACTGCAGAGAACCCAGGATGGAAAAAACACAGAGAGAGCTCCAGGATAAATTTGTGAAATTTCTATCAAGGTATTGAATTGTCTACGGTTGATCTTCATTGCCTGAGGAAGAAGCAACATAAGCAATGGGCCCGGAGAGAGCTATAAATGTTCTTTGAACATCTACAGCACTGCTGTCTCCAGCTGCTGCTGCTGGAAGGTCCAGGCTGCTGTGCATGTGGACATAAGCAGGCATTACAACCTAGAATCATGGCTAGTTCTGCCACTGGACACAGAGTTATCTACTGTCGTACCCTGAATTACATGACCCTTGCTTAAGGAATGGTGGTGTTGAGTCCCAGGGGTTTGCAGGTTATCAGAATGCTTATCCAAGCAATACCACTTGCAGCGTCGGTCCGAGCTTAGTCTTGATGGCATCTGCAATAAAAACAGGTTGAGATTGTTCCCATCTGTAAGAGCAACTGTTGAGCCACACTCAGCTGAAGTCCTCGTCAGGATTCTGTTGATCCAGCAGACGAACGTGTGTGAATGGAAAGTGACCACGTCTGCCATTACATTCTCCTTCCCACTGACCACTCATGTTAATCTTTGTGACCTTTACCAGCTCACCGACCTGTGGGGTAAGAAATAAACATGTTACAAACCAGAGACAGGGGCAGGATGAGCTGCCACCCCTCCCTGGTGTGCTTCACCCACGTGCACCAGATACACACCCAGAAAAAGCAGCTTTAGTCCTGACAGTGTCTGTGACACCAGCCTGCCCCAATGCCATTCACTCCAACAAAGTATATAAAGAAATGTGCCTAGATCAGGTGAGAACTACCTGAACTGAAGAGTCAGCAATCCAAAACCAACCTTTCCAAGTGTTCCTGGGACCTGCCATCAGGTGCTGTCCTGATAAATGTGCCTTGCTGGGCTGACAGAGGCCTGCACACTGCTGGGACTCCATCCAGAGCCCCATAAAACAAGGCACCTCTATTCCTACTTGCACCTGGACCAAGTGGACACTAACCTACAGGCTCAACTGCTCCTTAGTTTTGGAATCCCACCTTTCAAGCTGGAAAGTGGAGGAATATAATAACAATAATAATAACACACTTGTTATAATCTCTTCACAGATTATAACAAGTGTGTAAGAAGTGCCATAAGGCTGCTCTGTTCCTGCTCTGGACATCCACAGTCAGCCACTACCAAAGGCAAAGCCAGATGGCATTCCAGGCTTTCCCAGCATGGATTTCTCAGAGAAACAAATCCCACTGAATCACAGAATTGTTTAAGTTGGAAAAGATCTTCAGGGTCATCGAGTCCAAGCATTAACTCAGCAGTGCCAAGTCCAGCACTCATAGGAATAGTAAAGACAACAGATGCCTCTCCCACTTGCCCAGGAACACATCCCCTATTCTAATCTCCACCCTAATACTGCCAGCACCAATTCCAAAGGCAGCCTCTGTCACCCCCTGTGACACAGGGACACACTGCACAGCAGGCCCTTCCCCAGGCTGTGCAGGTAGCTCACACCAGGACACAAGTCTGGGTCTGACCAGTCCCCAGCTCTGTTCATATTTAAGGGCACTTCATTAAGTGGCACTCACACAACCCAAGGAAGCACAATTTACATTGTAGACACTCACTGCAGAGTTAATGAATGCACCACTGAAAAGCTGCCCACCCATTCTACCCCTCTGCAGAATTTTATCAATAATCTGATTTACAAGTAACGTACAACGGTTTTTAGAATTCTTCCCACATCACAGATGGAGGATGCTTTTGGGATAGATAGACTCTATTTTCTTTCACTAATACTGTAAATAAACTCTGAGGGTGTGGCCAAAGGCCTCGCTGCATTTCATCCAGAAATTCACTGAATATATAATTCACACAGATGCTCATCACTGTGTTCCAAATCCATCTAAAAGACAACCTCATTATTTGCACTTTCCAGGCAGCCAGCAAAGAACAAGGAAAACAATTTCAGATGTTACCAATCTCCATTAACTTTACAGGTTTTAATCACTTGAAATCTTTTGCCAGAACAGCTTTTAACAGTTCATAAATTCAACCCCTTTCATGGACATTTAATTAAGCTTCCCATACCTCTCATGATTACTTATCTGGTAATGAGAGGCCCGTTGGGACTCTTGCTGTAGCTTTATTTTTGCCTTTTGTAGTCATTAGTATAGACATTTTAATGAATCATATTTTGAAGAAAATCCTCTTATGTATTAGCTACAGGCAAAAAGAAGCCTTCCCCCAGTTCTGAATGCAAGCTTCAGCTCTTTAGGAATTTAATCATGCAGTTTGTATAATTTTGCTACTGCTAATAACCACTGGGGGGTTGTAGCAACAAAAATACTCTGCTGACCAAAACAATACATCAGCTATCATTTAACAAGGGTAAGATTCAATGTGACAATACTAGAAGTGGAAAATCTGATTTCCTAATCACAGCCATGACCAGAACAATGTCCCAGATAACTTCAAACTGCTTCAGACCTGGATAAAATCTACAGATCAGTGTTTAACCTCCAGCCCACTGGGAAGGGAAAAGCACCACTTGCACTGGTTTGGTGTTTTAAGACTGTGGGCCTGTGCTCTATCACACCTAATTAGTGTTCATTAGGGTTTCTCCTGGATGCCTTACAATAAACTCACCTGCAAAAGGTGGGTTCAACAGAGCAGTGACACAGTTACACTGTGGGGTGCTTGTGAAACTCCCCAGCTCCCCCAGCATCCTGTAGCTGGTTTTTGGTTCCAGGGGTGTTTCAGGGTCACTGCAGCCAAGGGACACTCAATTATGAATTCCCCTTACCATACAGAGCTACACTTGAAAGCTGCTTTTCAGTGATTGTTAAATGAGGAGACACCTCTGAGATCAAATATTCCTTTTTGGCCAGTAATTTCATTTAGCAGACACATTGATACGGTTTTTATTCTCATTTCATTTATATATATAAATCTTCTCATTCATTCTTATATATATCTATATATCTTTACATCTGCCAAAGCAGGACTAACTTGAAGCAAGCATGGACCATTTCACAAATGCTGCCTTAATAAAATGGCTCCATTAGATCCTGACTAACTGAAGGATCTTTCTAGATCTGCTTCAAACCTCTGCCTAGCAAGCTGCATTTCAACCACTCTCCTGAAGACAACATAGAGAACCCTTCCAAAAATTGGTTATTATTACAAGTGCTGAAGTTTTAAAACCTTTAGGCAAGGAGTGGATGCTGTCTCTGAATTCTCCTCACTTTCAGCATTGATTTATGGCCACATCAGTCCATAGTGCATCATCCCACCAAGCACAGCACCTCAGGAACAACACTGTACCCTGCTAGAAAGCCAGTTTTGTCTCAGTCTTCATCAGAAGCTTTAAAACTAAATATACCCCATATGCTTCAAAGCAAAACTGAAGGTTCAAGTGAAGACTTCTGTATGCTGTGGTTTTATTCCAAGTACTCCTCTTTGGTGAGGTCAGGGTGGCAGAGTTCTGCTACTGTTACAAAGAAAAAAAATAAATCGATCGATCTCAGAGTCATTCACCACACAGATCTTTCCTTTTCCTCCTCTATTTTCTCTTAAAATAGACTGAAAACTCCTTGCATAGGTCCAGTTACATGCAAAATAAATGTTAACTTCTCCTGCTGAATCTTTTCTCCATAATAGAGCACAGACTTTATTAGAACATCATCTGCTCTGATCCTCCTTCCCTGAACTCTTCAAAAGCATGTCAGGCTTAAAATAACAGAACAGCACAGATATTCTGTTTGCAGTTTGGGCAAAAACTGTTTGATGTTAAGAATCTATTTTTCTAAGAGAAGCAGTGGGATCCACCCCCTGCCATGAATATTGCCAGATTTAAGGATAAGAGTTTTCATTTGGAAAGAATCCCACTTGCTGTATTTATAAAGAGGTCTGGGCAAAAATGGCCTGATCAGATTTACATAATGCTCTCTACTAAGTTATCTAAGAAAGAGATCTCTAAATAAACAGAGAAGGAACACCATGAAGTGAAAGGGAATGTGGAGAAAGGAGACAACAAGAGACAGCACTTTGATAGACAGGATGAAGAAAAACTCGGGAGAAAATGAAATATTGCTTTTTTCCCTGTACAGACATTGAAAGCAACTCAGTAACATTGTGATTGGAAGTGATAAGAGCTGCAAAGCTTTGAAGGCCACTAGAAGCAGTGATAAATGGCTCACTTTTTAAAACTAAATGTTTGCAATATTACATACAGAATGAAGAACCACAAGTGCTATTGCATTTCTTAAATGGAGAGCAAGACAGGAATGTAACACCCTAACCAAGAGGGCCAAGGTGTCAACTGATAAATACTGAAGTAGTTTTAAGAGGCCCACAAAGGCCATTTCTGGACACCAGAAATCCCCTGTGGTCTCACAGCCAAGCTGAGCTGACACTTCTCAGCTGCCTCTCCCAAATCCTTCAGCTACTCAGCCTTTCCCATCAGTTAGTAAAAGACTCTAGAGGTGTAAGGTAGCTCAGAAAAGAGAGGTGCTACCCACAAAGCTGCTCTTCCTACAGCACTGCACTCTTGCCAGATCATGTGAGTTTGGTGAAGAGGATTGAACTAACCCAAGATCAGCCCTGGCACCCACAAGCTGCTCTCCAGCGTGGAAAGCATTTCCTTTCACTCTAAGTTGCTTATGGCCTGGATTAGCAGCATTTCCTCACCCTCCCTGTTTCACTCCATGCTCCCAAATCCTGCACTGGGCAGCAGTGTGGGGTTCTTTAGTGGAATAAAGTGTGAAGTTAAGGCTTAAGAGAATGCAAAATTCGGAAAGAAAACCAAAAGGGTTTGCTAAATATGCCACAACAGTATCCAGAGGCTCACAACCAATCTAACATCTGGTGATTACAACAGTCTGCATTCAGGAATCTTCCCAAGCTCCAGGGGGTAACTGGGTGGAAAGGGTGAGAAAAAGGAGAGAGACAGCATTTCAACCTTTATGAGAGTTTGAAGGGTAAAAATCCTCACATTTCCCCAAAATCTGGTCAGTTTACATGAATTTCTATACCTGCTTCTCAACCTAAAATTATTCAGCCCTATAACAGAATGGGCAGCAACTCAGAGTGTATCTCCTACCTACATGGGAGAGATTTCCCACCTGCCAGGCTGCACATCAGTGATCCACCTGCAGCCTGTGCTGCACCTCCCACTTCTGCACCACACACACCTACAGCTACCAGGTCCCTCAAGTCCTGGAGTGCCTCCTGTGCTATGCACAATTACACAGAGAATTTGAGAGTGCAGAGGAGATGCTCTGACTCAGCACAGAAACTGTTTTTTCCCAAGTACTTAAAATGTTATATAAACAGGAAGTCAATTAGGTATCAGGAAATTCCAGAGCCTCTGGCTCAAAGAAAGCCTAGATTAAAGGATACAATTTACATATCCTAAGGCAAAGGTCTGCCACAGGGAATACCTTAGTCTCAATTTCCTCAAATGTAACTTGGGGAGAACTATCTGATGTGGAGAGATGGAGCACTCCAGTCACCTTTTTAAGAGGAAAAAAGACAAATCAAAAAGGGCCTGTGCAATTACTTGATCCTGTCAGGAAGTGAATCAACCTGGGGAAAACTCGGTGCTTTACTACAAACCCTGCTCCATCAATCACTGCTTTCTACCAGACTAACAAACTGTGGTGTGAACAAGTGTTATTGCATTGCTTATCAATCACTGCTTTATACCAGACTAACAAACTGTGGTGTGAACTGTGAAATGCTCCTGCCTCAAGCCTAAATCCAGAGTAATCTGCTTGAGGTGATGTTACAATTAAATTCTGTGTGTGATCATCATCTCAGTCCAGGTAATTTCAAAGTGTAGCAATGTTTCCACTGATTGCTTTAAAAGTGCTGACACACTGGGGAGAAAAAAATGCCCAACACAACACAAACCAACAAACAACCCAGCACACCTTGTACAGATTGTGGTGAGGCACACAACAGCAAACACAGGTTCAGACATACAATTTATGAGCTGCTCCCTCTCCCTCCCCCCAAAATAAACATTTCAGAGCTGAAAACATGGATGGGGAAACACTTATGTTAGTGATGGTTGACAACAGACACAATACTGGTTCAGTAGCCTAATAATAATCAACAATAATCTAATTTACAAGTGACTCGAGTCACTCATTTTATCCATAACTTATTAACGATGACATAAAACCAGTATTACAAAGCTTTTCCCTTTCTCATTCCTCCAAAACTACCACGTGAGCGAAAGGGAAATCCCTTGAACAGATCTCTTCCTTCTACATTTTGCCCATTATGTACCTCCAAAGCCAAGGCTGTCTTGTCGTAGGCATTAGGGACTCGCTTCTGGATAACCCGGGCATAAATGGGGCCATTCTGGAGGTTAGGGAGCGGAGTGTTGATGCTGGGCTGGGCATAGGGCCCTGGCTCCGGCCCACCCAGTGGTTGTGGGTGGGAACTATCCTGGTTACCTCCAATCAGAGTGGGGACTGAAGCAGAGGAAGGTCTATACTTCTCGACGTAAGGAACGGGAATCATTCCCCTCTTCCCTTCGCTGTCTTCTGCGTTCCACCACTGCTCTTCAGGCTTATCCCGGATTCTCAGGATGTCTCCTTTCTTAAAGGGGAGATCTTCCTCATCATTGCCATTAAAGTCAAAGAGGGCTCGCACATACTCGGCCTCCTCCTGCCTGAGGATGACCCCGCTATTCTGCCTCAAGCGCGAAACCGGTTCTATCAAGGTTGTAGTGTCCAAATAGTGAATTTTGTAGAATTCCAGTAAAGATGGCAAAGAATCAAACTCTTGGTCACCTATTCGAAATCTGGTGGGATTCGACCCTGAAAAGAGAAGGCAACATGTCAAGGAGAGCATTGAAACTACAAATCAAACATTTGAGAAGACAAATACATTCAAACTGAAGTATTTCAACAACGAATTTGATCACCTTGACATATCATATTCATATCATATTCAGCTTTTCTGAACATTTTCAATCAAAGGCAGCATTGTCATTATCATGAGTACAAGATTTTTTAAAAAGATTTTGTCAAGGAAGGAAAAGAAATTCTTTGGCACCACCAAACTTCCCTAATTATGATAAAAATATCTTTGTTTCTTTCAGTATTATATGGACCCAACAGATGAAAATGTTCAGTACATCAGGGTTTCTAAGGAAAGAGAATGCAAAATTCAGGTCCAGTTCAATTCAACAATTCTCCTGTTTTACGCTCTAAATATAGGAAGTAAATTTTGGTACCATTTCAAGGAAATTTTTTTTTTAACTCTCTTCTGCTGTTCAGATCTATTTCCAAAGAGCAACACTGCAATAAGGGTTATTTACCTGTTGTAACACCTTGGGTTCAAGGCATGGACACTACAGAAAACTGCTTTGCACAGCAGCCAACAAGTGATGTCGAAGAGCAAATAAAGTTATTTTTCATTTTGATAAAAGGTACCAGTAAAGACAATTATCTCCATTCTATGCAATGCAAAGCAACAACCTATATTTTCATAACAGGAATGACTCAGCCTTTTAATCTCACGTCTTGTAGCTTCTTTGCCATGTTTGTCAGATGGAGCCTAAGCTATAAATCCAAACCTCAAATACGCTGGAATACAGATGATGCTCACATCCAAGCCATTACAAGCATCACTACAAGTGCAGAATATCCATTTCCAATCTGTGTGCTGTGCTCTTTTTTTTCCATTTTATGTCCTTCAGGCTCAGCTGGGGAAAAACACACACATGATGTTCTATTTCCACCATGCCCCATGCCACCAGCTATGGGAAGAACTGGGGAAGGCTGGGGGAAGGGAGTGCAGATGAAAAGATTTATACTTTAATGAGTAACTCTTTTAGCAAGACAGAGATGCTTACTTTGCAAGTCTGTTTTCTCTGCAGGGAATATCTAACAGTCCCAAGTCTTAGCTCTGGAGTACAAAGCTAGCAGAATCTTTCAAGCTGTCACTGATCCAAAACTCCCTGCAAAGTAGCACTGTCAGCATGGAAAGCTAATGTTACAACAAGTTCTTTCAGGAGGGCAGAAAGGGGTTCTAAGAGAGAAAAGGGCAGATTCAATGAGACCAACACCCGAGAAATGAGTTCTGAAGTATCCTGAAGGAACAGCAGCATTAGTGGGGCTGCTTAAAGGAAATCCGAAGGAGCAGAACTAAGTCATTGCAAAAAGCATGTTTGCATGCTCTAACAGCCCTGAAAGGCTCTCTAAAGAAATGAATACAAACACAGTGAGCCAAAACCCAAAAGCAATAGCCTTGAAAAACTGCAAAAAAAAACCCCCTCAAACTGGCATCACCAGAGATAAAGGAAGTTAATGTAATTATCAGTGAGAAAAGTGAGCCCAGCATGGGAAGAGATTTAAGAATCCATCATATTCTCCCACAGTGTAATGCTGAGAGGATGCAAAACCCCCTCAAGTTTTGTTGCTGAGATGTAACATAGAGCTCTAGACTTGGCCAGAACCCTGGAATTTCATCCCAGTGGCACTGTCAGCTCTGTGGGCTCCCAGGACAGGAATTCGGCTGGACAGGCAGTGTGCCTGCACCACTTCAAACAGCTCAGTGGGAAACAGGGAATGCTGCACTTCACTAGAGGTAGAAGTGGGGAACACAGCAGTTTTCAGACCAACCTGGTGACAGAAATAAGCACAAATATCTAGCACTATTTTACCTTTAGCTTTAAGGATCAAACTTGACATCTGAGCAAAAAGAAAAAGTCATGGGAACTTTAAGAGCAGGGCAGCAAAGCTCTTTGCAACCCATATGGAGAAGACTGAGTCTCAGGGAAGTTCACTGACATGGAACTTATTTCACATGACAGAAACAGAGATCCTGAAACACCAATTTACCTCAGTGAAACCTGCTACAAGCTGACTCAGCCAGGGGGCTGAGCTCTGTCAGCAGTGTGGGATTCACTGAGAAATCTTCACAGGTCACAGGAAATGAGCAGTTCATCAGTAACATTCATCAGCCTGGTCAATCTTCAATCTCCACCAGGATGAACAAGGCATTTTGGAGTGTCTTTTTTTCCTTTGGAACAGGTTCACCCTCTTGAATTAATGCACAACAGCCTGAGGGACCTGCCAAGTGTACCTGAATACAAGTTGGACTTTAAAAAGAAAAGTTCTCTGGAACATTATGTACAGAGGAGTGACAGAAATCACTGTACTGAATCCTGGAAAATCAGATCCTAAGTGGTGTTTTGTAGAGCTGAACAACAGCCAGAGGACACAGACCCTCCAAATTCTGGGATCAGAAAGATCAATGCACTCCTTGAAGGGACAGAGAGAAAAGCATCAGAAAGGAGAGATGTCACCCTCCCAAAGACCACACTGCCAGAAAATCACCTGCACTTCTGATGCTTTTCTTTTAAAAAATGTAATGTGGCTACAGAAGATCTAGAACAAGAAATCTACAAACTTAATCTAAATTTATCATCAATTAATATCAAGGCAGCAATCTCATAATCATCGGGATAACTTTAATAGAAGACTCCTAAAATTTAGCTAAAACAGGCATAAAAAGGTCAGCATAGTTCAAAGTCACAGGTGGTAAAATGCAGATTGGAAATAAAATACAACTCCACCTTCCCAAGCAAGTGGAAAACTTTCCATCAGTTTAAATCTTTTGTGGATCTGAACCAAGTGATGTTCACATGCAGTGGGGAAATCATTGCACTCCCTACAGGCTCCTGAGTTTTGTCATTCCCTGGTACAAAGAAATTCACAGATTAACAGATTTCAGAGGAATTCTTCAGCCTCTTATTTGAACTGTGACACTGCTCATACCTGCAGGCCAATGGAATAATTCAGGCAAGATCTAACAAAGAAAAAGTTACAGGAATAAGGTGAGCGGGGTGTTTTGGGGAATAAGAGCAGTTTTCCTTCATGATCCTGGGATTCCTCTGGAAGGCACAAGCCTGAGCAGCACAGTGAGCACATCTTCTGAGGGCTCCCAGAAGAGCACAAGCATGGAAAGGTGAGTCCTCTGTCACTTCCTGTGAAAATTGGGACACCTGAGTACAGGAAATTCTCTTTCTGCAGTCTGGCACAGCTGGACAAGCTGCTCAGGGAGGACCTCCAACACCAGCACAGCTCAGCTGAGCAAGGTGAACTTTTTGAATGAGAAGCACAAAGGGCTGAGTATCCTCTTCCTTCCTCCATCTCCACTAACATCACTCCAGCCATCTCAGGATGCCACAAAAGGTGAGGAAAGAGTTCAAATCCAAAGGGTCCCACAACTGAAGAACGTTTCAAACCTGGCTCATATCAGTTCTCTGTTTATGATGCACATTCCCTCCTGTCACAGCCCTGTGACACTGAGCTGCCTTGTGTCAGTCTGGGGAAAAGTGCTGGTGTGTGTTTTAAATATTGCCCAGATCCTGGGGATCAGGGCTATAAACCACCCAATATTCTGCTGGTTGGGCGGGTGGTGAAAGCACAGAGCAACTCCTCACCTTCTCAGGGGGTTTGCATTTCTCCCTTCACTCCAATTGTGTCAATAGGGAGCTTTCTCTTTATTCCCAAGCTTTGGAAACTTTTCCTTCACAGAAATACAGGTCTTTATTTTTACATCTAGTTTATTCTGTAAGGGTGGCTCCCTTTCCCAATTCAGTGTGTTCAGGGCCAGAAAAGCTGTTCTTATCAGCCAGAGCAGCAGTAAGACACCCCAGTGATGTCAGCCACTTCCTCCTGGAGCAGATGGGAACTGGGCTCTGGAGGCACCACATTCCAGCCCTTGTGCTTTCCCCACCCCCTCAGGGACACCTCTTTTCCTTGTTCTCAAGTACCTTCCTACTCATGCTGAGCAGAACAAATAAACCCCATGAACACCCTATAAAAACATAAAACTCCATTGAGTGGAAGAGCTCTGAGCACACCAGGAAAACATTCACTGAGGAGCAACACTCATTTCTGATCACTGCACTCATCATTTACAGATCACAGGATAACAGCAGATGTCTAATACAGCACTTTATAAAGTTACAACTAGTTTGCATTTCAATATATTTTTATCCCAATATAAAAATGAAAATAAAACCAAAACCCAAGCATCAGAGTTAAGCCACTCTGCTCACACATGCCTAAAGCCACCTCACCCAGGGCTGAGTGTGGGTATCCTTCTGTGAGGATTCTGTGATTCCAGGAAGTTCAGTCACAATGGAAGTGATTTAGAAAAATTCAATTCAGAATCCTGGAATTTTATCTGTCATATTTGCAGAATTCAGTCAGACATTATAAGGCTTCTGTCTTTACAATGCTGCACTCTCAACAGAGAGCATTTCTATCTTTAGGTATTTCAGGCATTTTTTAGTGCATATCACACATTTTTACCCCAAGCCCCCATGTCACATCATAAACACATGATGTATTTAATATTTCCTCTGCTGTCCATCACCATGCTAATGCCTGCATGGAGCACTTTGTCTTGTTTGGGATTTCTTTAGCCATTACTGTGATACCTCATCACAAATGATCCATTTCCACTGAAAACAGAATGTTTTTCTTTCCCATAATTCAGTGATTTATCCTATTTTTTAACATCCTTTAGACATTCCAGGAAGATATAAAAAATTCTGTTCAATTCTTTTTTCTTTGTTGAAAAATCACCTTCAAGAAATTAGAAACTGCAGCATCAGTCAAAAGGTCAATTTAACAAAGAGTTTGCAAGTTTACTTTCTACTCCAGAAATCAGAAAAGGTATCATGTTTTTGTGACATTGTGGTTTTTAGGGAAGCCAGAGCTCCTCATCTCATTCATTCTGTGCTGAGAGCAGCCAGGAATTTCACAGACACTGAGCAGCCCAACACAAATCAACCCAAGAACCCAATCTGGAATATTCCAGTTTCCCAAAGAGACCTGTGCATTTGCCAAACAATAAATTGGTAAAAAAATTATACCAAAATTAAACTAAAATATAGTGATTTTGTTTTTCCTAATGTTTTAACTTGGCCACAATAAATAAGCAGGACAGTTTGCAAACATTTAACTCTTTTCACTGCATTAGCTTCTTAGCTTCCCTACCCAAACACAGAATCATCTTCAATCTTCTACTGTTTTCACCTCCCTTCCACTGCAGAACAACCTCCCACTTATTTTCTTCTGGAAGAGCACCTTAATTACACTTGGGAGTATAATTCAATGTACACCTCCCCAGCACCTTCTTTGGTTGGAGTGTGAAGGCAGCAGCATCAGCATGGAGGCAAGATTTAATTAAAATTACTGAAATCAGCGTGGGAGTGTCTGTAGTGCAGCAGTGATGCATCACCCCTCCCCAGAACCTCCAGGGGACAAATAAAAAGGAGACCAACCAAAACATAATTATACTTTTCCAGATATATTAAGCCTACTGTGGCACCAGCTTACACAGCTACTCTTTTAAAACGGAAGAGAATTACAAGGTACTTCATGATTTTAACCAAAGCCAGCCCACAGAATGCCACAAATGTCACTGGGCTTAGGATGTAACTCAAGGAAAAAGTCAGGATGGCTGTACTGAAGTGATGCCACTGTGTTTCCAGAGATGAGTTGCTCCCCAAAAAACAACAGCCCAGAAGTGACAGACACTCATGAGCCAGTGTTTTTCACTGTCTTTAAAATCCAATTAGGTTGGATTCACAACAAAGCATCCTGGTGACTGACTCTGCTCCACACAACACCAGCCATCCTTGTCAGCAATTACAGCACCAAACTTCTGCCTGCACACACAGAGCAACAGGAACCCACCACGTTCTGACCCCCACAGCAGCAATAAATTCCATTTCCAGCTGAATTCAGCCACATTTAACTTCTACCTGTGGAGCTCTGTGACCTGAGTGCACCGTGCAGCTCCAGGAGGTTCCTGGCACAAACAGGATCAGTTTAGACTTTCCCCATTTTTCCAATCTGAAATGCTTCCCCTGTATGACAGTGCAAACCTACTGGCACTAATCTTGTTTTCTCTCGGATTATCTCCTTAGTCAAACACTCTGTGCAGAGACTGAAAAATAAAACAAGTCTTGTTATATCTTTCCACCACTAGTCTCCTATTCCACCCACAGACCTACACCACAGTGTCTCCATCTACTTTCTGCCAAATAAATTCACCAAATCTCTTATTACACAGGTTTAGTATTATTAAAAATTATCTAGTGGCTCCTTGCAGACGTGCTAATCACATATCCACATCATTTTTGCAAGGATTAATATCCAAACTCGAGCAGTTCCAGCAGAGGGACACCAATGCCTTTGGACTGCACATTCTGACACATCCAAGGGTTCTGCACTGCTGGGGTTTACTTGGACTAAACACCAAAAATTCTGCTTCTCCCTCTGGCACAATCGGCAGTGTGTTGTTTTCATTATTACATGTTCAGCTGATGAGAAATAATATCAAACTTCTCCTTTCAGGGGGAAACAAACTGAACTTCACATCTGATTTCAAGAAACCATTGCCTTTACATCCTGAAGAGTTCCCACCACTCAAACTCGAGCTCAGCCTCCCTGATAACGCAAAACTGCCTTGTCAGAAGTCAGACTTTGGAGATGACACTTGCACAGAACCACCTCCCGGCTGAGATAACACGGGAAATCTATGAATTATCGCTAAGGGGGCCAGGAAAACAAAGAGGTGCGAGGCTGGAGCTGTGGCACAGAACGGCAGGTGCGGACACGGCTGTGCTCGGGCAGCGGCCGCAGCTCCGAACGCGGCTTAACTCCAGCACAAAGCGCTCCAGCCTGCGAACACCGCCCGGCGGAGCCGCCCCGGCTGCCCTGCCCGGGGCTGCGGGCACCGCCGGCCCTGGGGGTCACTCACCCGGGGCCCCGGGGCCCTCGCCGCCGGACCGCCGGGCTCCCGCCGGCCCCAGGCTGTTGACGATGTAGTGCGAGACGCGGGAGCTCTCGGACACCGACAGCACGAAGTCGCCAGGGATGGTGCTGGAGTCGCGCACCAGGAAGGTGCCGTGGCGCTGGCCCTGCAGCAGCGATACGGCCTCGCCGCGGCTCAGCCGGCCCCAGTACCAGCTCGCCCGGTCCTCGGAGTCGAACTGCCCGGCCATGGGGGCCGCGCTCCTCCCCCGACCGCGGCCGCCGCCGCCCGCGGAGCCGCTCAAAATGGCGGCCCCGGCCTGACCTCACCTACCGGACGTGACCGCACACGGGGAGCCCTGACGTCATCTCCCCGCGCGGGCGGGGTCCGTGTGAGGGCGGCTGGGAGGGGGAGGCGGGAACGCGCTGTGGGGACCGGGAACGGCCGGTGAATCCCGGCATCGATCGGGCTGGGAGACGCCGCCGTAATCAGCGAGTCCGACCCGGTACCGGACACCGCCTTCTTAACCACACCGGAGTGCCGCGTCCGGTCGTTTCTTGAACACCTCCGAGCGCGGTGACTCCGCCACATCCCTGGGCAGCCTTTCCAATGACCTTCTCTGGGAAGAAGTTCCTCCTGATGTCCAGCCTTACCCTCCCCTGACACAGCTTGAGGCCGTTTCCCCTCATCCTGTCCCTTGGGAGCAGAGCTCGACCCCCACCTGGCTCCAGCCTCCTTTCCAGCAGTTGTGGAGAGCCAGAAGGTTCCTGCTCCTTTTCTCCAGGCTCAGCTCTCCTGGCTCCCTCAGCCTCTCCTGGTGCTCCGGATCCTCCCTCAGCTCTGTTCCCTTCCCTGGTCATGCTCCAGCCCCTCGATGTCCTTCCTGAACTGAGGGGTCCAGAACTGGACACAGCGCTTGAATGTGGCCTTGCCAGTGCCCAGCACAGGGAGGGCACAGGGGGACAAGACAATCCCTTCCCTGGCCCTGCTGCCACACCATCCCTTGCCTACAAAGATGGGGAAGGTTCTGGAGACAAAGCCTTATGAGAATGGCTTTCTGGTCACTTGGTTTGTTCAAACTGGAGAAGAGGAGACTGAAGTCAGACCTCATTATGATCTTCAACATCCTTCTGAGGGACAGCACCAACCTCTGCTCTGTGACCAGGGACAGGGAAGAGCAGGAGCTGTGCCAGGGCAGGCTTAGGTTGGATTTTAGGAAAAGGTTCTTCCCTAGAGGGTGCTGGGCACTGCCCAGGCTCCCCAGGGAATGGGCACAGCCCCAAGGCTGCCAGAGCTCCAGGAGGGTTTGGACAGCACTCCCAGGGTTGTCCTGGTACCTGCTCTGGTATTGTTGGGATGTTTGTGCAGGGCCAGGAGTTGGAATAGATGATCCTTGTGGGTGCCTTCTAGCTCAGTATATTGTGTATATTTTCATCTGTACATTGAAGCCTGCAGCTCACTGTGTTTTCCTTCAGGACTGTGCCAGCAGCTTCTCTCCTCATCTTCCCTGCCAGCCACATATTCCCACCCCATGGCTGTGCCAGCACAGCTTCTTTTCATGGCATTACACACTGAATTGGGCCAACGAGCTGTTCTGGGTTAAAAATAGCCCTGTGAAAGAAAAAGTTTTCTTTTATTCAGGCAGTTCACTGACTGCAGTACCACAGAGGTCTGCCACAGCAAAGAGCTTAAGTTCCACTGGTGCCACAGAAGAACCATGTGTGTGTGGGCATGCACAAATTAAGAGTTATATTTGTGAGAAAAAAATCAATATTTACCACTTTTAGACTGTTCTCCAAGATCTCTAAAATGCCAGAGTAGTATGTGTCAATGTGTGTAGAATTCTGCTCCAGCTCTGCTCAGTTCTGTGAGCTTTTTTCCAGAAAGGAATGTGCTTTTTCAACTGTGTGTTCTCCCTGTGGCAGCACTTGCATAAACAATGTTAGAGCACAGCTGTCCCTGACTGTGAGGGTGCTGTGCTCCTCCCTGCACCCAAAATCCTGCTTTTTTTAGGGCCCTGGAGCTGTGTCCTGGATGGGACTCTGGCATTGTGTCAGGTCCCCAGGGCTGTACTAACCTCCATAACATCCCAGTGAGAAAATATTCTGTCTTACAGGTGGGGAGCCTGTGGATTCATCAAATTCACAGGAAAACACCAGGTGCTTGATTTCAGCCTCACAAATGCACATCCTTCCTCTGCTGATGCTGTTCTCTCTCCAGATGGACTGGAGCTAGGAGGAGCCCTGATCCATTTGGAAGTCAGTCCCTGGTGATGTGTGGGGTTTGCTGGCCAGCTGCAGGGATAGCACACACACTTCCATGGGTTTTTCACAGGTTTGAAAAGCTGCAGATCCTTGTTGAGAGCCCAGGACGGCAGGAGAGTTAAATCATATCCGCAGGAACACGCGTCCTTTCTGTTCAGTGTTCACAGACCTCAAACAAACAAACAAACAAACAATTCTTTATTAGGGCAAAATTCACCATTTTTCTGACTCCTACCAGACCTCTGCAAAAAAGTCTCTTTTTTTTTTTGCAGACTGTTCTTTTTTCCCCTCCCTTCCCGGTCCCCATCTCCCGTTTTCAGCCGATCCCAGAACTGCGGGAATTGGTGTTTTCCATCAGGTTTTCGTTTTGCTTTTCGCTCACGTTGGGAATTCTGTTGCATGAGCTCTCTCTGGTGGTCAAAGCCGGGAAACCAATAACGCTCCTGCCCTAAATCGCTCTTGTGAGTGTTTTCATGCTGGAATGATTTCATAGGATCTTGGAATAGTTTGGGTTGGAAGGGACCTCGCAGATCATCCAGGTCTGACCCCCGGCTGTGGACAGGGACACCTCAACTAAGGCAGAGCTCCATCCAACCTGGCCTTGATCACTTCCAGGTTATCCACAACTTCTCTCCTACAGTCACTTTCTCACCTTCATTATTTGTAAAAGCCTTTCCTTACTTAGCATTTCTGACAATTACTGGTAACCTTTCCCAAATTTCTTTTTTCCTCCCCTATTTAAACACTGCATCCCTCAGTGGTTTATTACCCTCACCCCATCCCTGCTGCACAAAGGCTACAACAAGGCAGAGCCCTTCTGCTTCCTACAAATTTGAAAACAATTAACATGAATTTTAAGAATTTTTCACAGGCAGAGGGATTGCAGGAATGTGAAAGAAAAACAAAGCTCTGGGACACAGTCTCAGAAGAATAAAACTAAATCAGCTTGAAATGCTGAAGAATTCACTGTTAATTACAAGATCCTGAAAGGAATTACAAAATATTGTGAAAACATTCTATTCACTCACCTAGCAGTAAAAAGCCCCACTGGTACCCAGGTTTAGTTTCCCTCTCCTGATTTTATTGTCCCTACCAGTTGGCCAGAGATTGTTTTTTTCCTAAGGAGGTCTAAAATTTTGGCAATGTGTCCAAAGCCACAGTCAATCAGTCGAAAGTTTCTTGCTGAGTGCAATGAGTGAATCTTGAAAAGGTGCCAAGCATGGAGGGCTGGAGTACAGCAATGTTCCGCCTGAGGTGACATCCAAGGGATGTTGAAACAAAATCAGGAAACACCTGGGTCAGCCCAGGGTTCATCTGCACTCTGCTGACAGCAGGGCAAGGTGACCTGGTGTCACATAACCCTGTCCCAGCTGCTCCTTAAGGGTTTGGCTTTGTCAAGCTGGTCTAGATCACATGGCAATACTGTGTCCTACTTAGAAAACTAAAACTAAAGGAGGAGAAGTTCCATCTCTTGGTTTCCCTGTGACTTGAAGAAACAGCATTTATCCCACAGAAATGTTTCCTCTTGTTCAGGCTCAGCTGCTCGCAGGAGGTGCCTGTGTCCTGTTTATTCCTTTTCTTCACCTCCTGTGGCCTGGAACCTGGCTTCACACCTGGCTTGGAAGTGTCACCTGTGCCAGAAGTTCCTGCCAGGTGCTGCTGAGGGATGTCAGCAGCACTTTTGGTGAACAGTGACATGAGCCATTGTGTAATGAGCTCTGTGTGAAAACTTGGGAACAAATAATCTTGGAGTGATGGGTGGAAGATCTCTTGATCCCACTGAATTTTGTGTAAGGGGAGCAGCCTTTATGCTGCCAGCTGGGAAATGTCTGGGTGACAAAGTCTAAATTTGAGTTTTCCTGGGAGGTACCATGAGTTCAGAGGGAAAGTGACATGTCACAGGAAATGCACTGGATGGGGTTTATATGTAAACACAGAAATGAGGCGTGGAGCAGCCTGAGCTGGAGGGGAAGGTCCTGCAGCTGGAGAGGTTACAGGAATTCTTAGTGGTGTGATGATAACAGACAATGACAATGGGATGTGGCTGTGTAGCCTGGCAGTTGTGTGAAATAATGATGCCAGGGCAGGAGCAACTCCTCAGCTACAACAGGGCTCTGGTCTGCTGTGTGTGAGGGAATGGAGCTGATTAGTGTCATTAGGGGAATGGAGAACTGGTCTCATGGGGACTGGTGAAAACATGTGGTTATTTAGGCCAAGAAGAGGCAAGGCTGTTCTCCTGGAACAACCTGAACACCTTGGGATGAGGGGACAAAGAGAATAACTGAGCCTCAGAACAATGGGACGCAACTGCAAGCTGAGAATTAGTTTGATTTTATCAGCGGTGTAACATTCCACTAATATGGACGGGGAAATTGAACATTAGAGTTCAGATAGTTTAAAAAAACCCTTTTTTGGGGAAAAGACTTAAGTTCTGTGTTTGTCCGCTCTCCAGGGCCGGGGGTAAGTGGGGACACGGCGGGGCCGCGCTCTGTCCTGAACCCCTGGGCCCTGAACCGGCTCCGTGCGGGCCGGGATGTGCCGGGCCGGGGGTGCGCTGGGCTCGCATTGTGTTTGGCTCCGGGGGTGCATCGGGCTCGGGGTCCGCTGGCTCTCGGGGTCCGCTGGCTCTCGGGGTGCGGTGGCTCTCGGGGTGCGCTGGCTCTCGGGGTGCGGTGGCTCTCGGGGCGCGTTGGTTTCGCGTTGGGCTCCGGGTGCGTCGGGCTTAGGGAGTGCACTGGGCTCGGGGGTTCCGCGGGCTCGCAGGGTCCGCTCGGTCTCGGGGGGAGCCCCGGGCGGGCCGCGCTGGGCCGTGCTGCGGGCGGCGCTCGGGGCCGCCGCGCTCCGCCCGCCCGGCGCTCCCGGCCGCTCTCGGCGCTCGGAGCCGCCCCGCCGCTCTGTGCCGCCCCGCGCTCGTCTCGCTGGCCGCGCTGGGCGGGCCTGGCGGAGCCATGGCGGCCGTGCGGGGCCTGCGGATCTCGGTGAAGGCGGAGGCGAGCACGACCACGGCGGAGCCGCGCGGCGCCGAGCCCGAGCCCATGGAGGTGGAAGA